CCCTGACTGCTCTTTAGCAGAACCTGAGTTTGATTCTCATGGCCCACCTGGTGGCCCACAAGCACCTATAACTCCAGTTCTAAGATATCTGCTGCTCTCTGTTGGTTTCTACAGGCACCAGGCACACAAGCGGTGCATTGACATGTATACAGGCAAAACTGTCATACTCATAAAAAAAATCAGAAAATCTAAATAAAATAAAAGTGTTCATTTATGCTTTTCTAGTTTGAGCATTTTGATGACCATAGTCATTTAATACTTTATGATATGAAGAGTGAATCTAACTTTATTTGTCCATGTACAAGCCTGGTTGCCCCAACATACTGTGCCTCTCCTTACTTGACTGACTTGTCATGCCTCTGCTGTTATATATTAAGAGTCTATGCATGCCTGGGTCTGTTTATAGGCTCTTTGGTTTTTTATGAATCTGTTTGTCCATCCTTACATCAATATAAAATTGACAATAACTCAGAAATGACTTGTGGCCTCCTGTGCTTTGCTCCTGGGTCAAGCCACTGTTCTTGTTTCTTTTTCATTTTATTCTCTCTCAATTAATTGGTCCATCATAGGCCTTTAACCTTTTCTTATAAGTTTTGGTATTAGTTTTTTAAAGTCTCTTAAACATGAGGTCTTGATTGAAACTACATTGACTAGTTGTAATAACTAATAAATAAATAATTTGGTTCTTAGGGTGATGAGTCCTTCCAACTATGAACACAAAGCTCATTTGTCTTGTTGATTTTTAATAGCTTAATCTTGTATTTAATTCCCCTGGCTTATCAATTTTCTTAGACATCTTTGTAGATAAGTCTCTAAATACCTTGGATAGCAGTTGACATCGATGTGTTCTGTACTCCCCCAAAAGTATAAGAGTTCTCGCTACCAACAAGCAATTGCGTAGGATATGTCAGCTATGTGTCTTCTAGCTCATCATAATTCCAATAGTACATAGGTAGAATTAGATCCCAGCCTCCAGAGCTCATTCCCTAAGACTATGTCCTCCTTACTTCAAATGCTAATCAAAGCTTGGGACTTTTTATTCCCTGTGTTTTAGAAAAACTAGCTATAACGTAGGTCCCATCCTTGATTTCAATTAATTTTCTAGAGTGGTTTGTAAAACTCAGGGATATAATTACTTAAGTTTTTATATAAAAGGTGTGTGTCTGTCTCTGTGTCTGTCTGTTACTGGCTACTGGCCATTGAGCCCATAGTCTCACATGCACTAACCAGGCATACTTCATTAAGTTATAACCAGATCCCACAAACTATATTTTCAAAGATGGAGGGCAGAAGGGCTCATGAATCCCTACCTCTAGCTGAGAAGCTACCGACAGTTCATGGATCTTAGGGGAGGGAGAGCCATTTTTCTTCAGGAGTGTGGCTCCAGATCGAGTGCCCATGTTCCAGGGGATGGCTCCACACCCATGTGTGTGTGTGAGGATGGCATTCATTGTACTCAGTCGGTTATAAGAAGGAAGGAGGAGAGGGAAGTAGTATCAGAATTGGAAAGGGAGAGATGTGTTGGGGAGATCTGGGGTGAGGCAGGAAATGGTGAGTGGACCTCCACCTAGTCAGTGAACAAGTCAACGGGGTTCCTGACACTCTTAGGACAATGGAACTCTAAACCGACGCAAATGAGGACAGAGGGGAGCTGGTTAAAGAAAACCAAAGAGGAGCAAAACTGTAAAATACAACCCAGGCATGGTGGGAAAACTGAACCAGAGTGATTTCATGCAGAAAGGACAGAGAGCAATCAATAGTAAAAACAGGTATCCTTGCATGGCGGTGGTGGCACACGCCTTTAATCCTAGCATTTGGGAGTCAGAGACAGGCAGATTTCTGTGAGTTCGAGGCCAACCTGGTCTCCAAGAGCTAGTTCCAGGACAGACTCCAAAGATAGAGAGAGACTTTATCTCAAACAAATACACAAAAATCAGGTATCCTTATTTAAAAAGGAGCACCTTTTCTGGTCATTCCATCATTGACAATGTTTTCATGGGTCCTTGAGTTTGTAGTTCACATCCTAGTACTTAATTTAGTAACAGCATCTGCTCGAGTATTCTAGCAATTAAACTGATCCTCAACACCAACTATGTCAAGCAAGAGTCTTTCAAAGGCTTTTTGGAGTCCCTGAGTTATCTGTTATGGTCATGGCAAGGAGCAAGGTCTTATAGTTTTACCATGAGTGTGCATTGAGATTATAAAGTGTGTGTAAATACCAAGAGCTATTCATTCCTGGTGTGTGTGTGTGTGTGTGTGTGTGTGTGTGTGTGTGTGTGTGTGTTGCACAGGCACTAATGTTTGTTTAGCCAGGAAAATACTAATGGGCTTGCAAGGAACCATCCCTCTTTGGCTCCACTGCATTCCTTCTGGCCGGCTTCTTGATAGCTTTACCCCAGAACTAGTGAGGAGCATCTGCCAACCCAAGCTGTCCCACACTCATTCTCAAATCCTTCTCAGTCTTCCCTGGACGAAACTGTGATTTCCTGCACACTGTTCCAACTTCTCCTCTGTTTTGCAAATTGTGACTGCCTAGCTCTTATACATGTATGACAACCATTGTAGAATATTCTCCCACACCAAACAGAAGTAGAGGCAGCTAGGCCAGCCATGTTCTAGTCATTATTTTTGGGACATTTAACTTCTTCATTCCTTATCTTTAAAAAATAGGGCTAATAGTCACCATCATTTGATTTAAAAAAAAAGATTTATTACTCTCATTTAATTTGTCTGTGTGTCTGTGTGAATGTATCCCATGCTAGTGCGTGGTCACGGAAGCTGGAAGAAGGCGTCAGACCTTCTGGAGCTACAGGAGAATCTGAGCTCTTTGCTATTAGGACTGTGAACTAAACTCCAGTCCTCTGGAAGAGCAATAAACACTCTTAACACCAAGCCATCTCTGCACACCACCACCCCAAGATGCAGCCCGAGCTAGCCTTAAACTCCCGCTCCCTGTGCCCTCCCCTATCTGCACATCCTTCTGCTGTGCACTACCACAACTGCCAGTAGCTCCTCCATAGAAAACACAGTATTTTTATGGATAATGGGCGATCTGTAAAACCTTGCCTAGTCTGTGTATTGTACAGGTCATGGTTACTGTTGATTCTGGTGACTATGTGTGGTGGTTTGGAAGAAATTGGCCCCCAAAGGGAGTGGCACTCTTAGGAGGTGTGGCCTTACTGGAGAAAGTGTGTCACTAGAGGGGTGGGCTTTGAAGTCTCTTTTGCTCAAGCTTCTCTCAGTGTGACTTTCAGTTGACTTCCTGTTGCCTGCAAGATGTAGGTCTCTCTGCTATTTCTCCAGTACCACATCTGCCTGCCTGCTGCCATGCTCCCCACCAAAATGATATTAGACGGAACCTCCGAAACTGTAAGCGAGCAACCATGTTTAAATATTTTCCTTATAAGAGCTGTTGTGGTCATGGTGTCTCTTCACAACAATAGAAGAAAACCTCACAGAGACACACTCTCTGGTGAACTTTTATTGAGTAGAAACACATCAGTGAACACTTTACTAGGTATATCCAAATCAGCTAATCTGTGGAAATAACAACATCCCAGAAAGACACTTTAATTAGTATAACAAAAAAGCCCAAGCCCTGAGTTTGAGTTATAAAATAAGGAGATGAGATTGTTGATCATGATGTAGAGTATGTTTCTAGAAAGCCAGATAAAATAGCCCAACGTATTTGGGGCAATAATGTGAGCTAGTGTACCTTGTCTTCAAGTGGTGATTGTTCTCCAAAGACATTTCAGTTTACCCTACCTTACAGGTCAGGTTTGACTCAGCAGAATTTGTGCCAACCTCCTTCCTAACTGGGTGCTTTCTCCCACTTCTCTCATGGTTGGTCCCTGTATTGTTATTATAATCCACTTTCACATACTTAGCTGGCCTGTATATCTTGGCTACATTCGTTACCTATTTAACACAAGCCCTTTCAGTGGATGTAAGAGAGAACCTGGTCGAGACAAATTTTCTTAAAATGTAACTTGTTTATGCAGCAGGTGAGAGCAATTCATGAATTTCCTTTTAATCTGTTCATTCCACCTTCTTATATTTAAGAAATATAATATAGAATACTAAAGATACCCAGCTCATGCTAATCCCTTTTTTCTGACTTCTTTAAAGGTGCACAAACCTGACACTACACTGCAATCCTGTCTTGATACTCAAAGCTAGGATTCAGCAAGTTGAGTAGTGGTTAATAACCAATCTGACTTTTATGAAGTTGTTGTAAGAATTATCGTTGGGGTAAAATCTCCTGATGAAACTATAGACTGAAACCAAAATTTTTAACTACTAAAAATTATACTAACAACCATCTTCAAAAAATACAGAGGAATAATCAATCTTCAAATATTTCACCGATTATATACTAGTCTTTATTCTGTCTGTAGTCAAAGGTTGGTTCTTCTGATTTCTCTGCCTGTTTTATGCTCTGGCATCAGCCACAGATCTTGTTGGCTGCTAAGATGATTCCACCCTTTATTTATTATCTGCTGTCATCATTTCTACCCCACCACCCAGCCACAGAAGTTCAAGTTCAAGGTGCTTGACAAGTGAATGACAAGGATGGACTAAAACCAGTCATCCAGATATGTAGATTATCCAATGGAGTTAGCACACAGACCCTCAGGCTTATAGCTTATAAAGGCTGCTTACATTAAGCAAGGCATGGCTGTACTTACTACTTCTCATTGGCCTCATGTGTTATGAGAATGTTATTTAGCCATCCCGCCCTGGGTCTAAATCAGGTGGAATCTTAGAGAATTTTATATCTAGGGGATAGGAGAGAGAGATCAGTGGGTAAAGTGAGGGCCTGAGTTTAGATTCCCAGCACCCACATAAAAGCCAGGTGTGGCAGCACACACTAGCAAACCCCAATTCCGGTAAGATGGTGACAGGCAGGCAGATCCTGGGGGCTTGTTGGACAGCCAGCCTAGCTGAGATTCAGTGACAGACCCTGTCTCAAAAGCTAAGGTGGGGAGTGACAGAGAAAGACACCCCGAGTCCTGCTCCAGCTTCTGCATGCACACACACACAGGCTGTTACATAAGCCACATGTTTAAGAACGGTTGTCCCAACCAGTCTTTTCTTACTTCCCCTAAAAGGCTCAAACTGAATAGTTAATGAGAGTTAATATGGCTGGGAGATTTAGACCAGTAAGCACACGCATGCACACACACACACACACACACACACACACACACACACCACATAGAAATAAAAACTTTGGAAAGCTAAATTCCTGTCTGCCTGTCATACTTTGGAAGGATTACAAGTGTCACTTGTCTGCCAGCATCAAACGTTTTGGGAAGCCACAGATTCCCCAGAGTGTCCAAAAGCCACAAACTCCTGATTTTGCCAGAGTCACTGCCTGCGTCAGTGCCTTGAAGAATGACTGTAAGTAGGCAGATTTTGAATAAGTTCAATAGAGGATAGTGATGAGGCATGAAGACATTCACGGTCAATTTTAATGACTTTGACACAAACAAATAAGCGCATTGGCACCTAGGCAAAGGGTGCTCTATTTGATTTCCTTCAAATCACAGTTAATGATCCAGGCAGATATAAATGAGCCATACTGTGGCTTACCAGGAGGAACTCAATGTTTCTTTACAAATGATGCTTGTGGCTTAAGTTTGAAACCTGTGAACAGGCAAAAGCAATGGCAGAGAGGAGACACCTGTGAACTTTATGGGTGGGGCCAAGGTGAGGTCCAGTATCACATCCTCCCATATGAGGAACAGACTTCTTTCCTAGGTGTCGAAACTGTTCTGAACTTCTGAAATCACTGTTTCCCAAACACAGCACAACCCCCCCCCACACACACACACACCCATCCTCCTTGCCTTCTGTACTTCAAAGCCAACCCACGGAGACATTCCCTCAAGGTTAAAGTCATCTTAGCAGTCAAGTGACACACTAGGATGTTTGGCTTGGTTTGAGCTACCCCCAGGTGGGCTTTCTTCTGTGGAAGAGCCCATCACAGGGATCATTTCTGAGGATTCTTTTATATAAAAATCAAAAAGAATCTTTCTCTAAAGATGGTCTTCTCAATATTTGATATGGCTTTGAGGAAAGAACAAAATAGACTTTTTTCTTCCGTGTACCCATGGAATCCCACACAGAGCCCAGCACAGAATTCTATACCTTCTCATTCACTGAAATTCTCTGACCTAAAGAATTCAACTATTGACCAGTCCCTACATTTTTATCCTTACCCGTTCTTTCCCAATTGCTCCTGGCCTCTGCGCAGTGGGAGGCCAGTGTGAACCTGCACACCTGGACGCTGTCTTTGGGATTATCTTGTCTCACAACACATTAAATACGTAAAATACATAGATCACCCCACAGTCAGAAACCAGGGAGTGAGGGGTGACCAGTGAGCCGGTAGAATAGGATGTGGGTGGGCCCCACCGGGCTGGGTTCCATGCTGTCACGTGAGGTCGAGGATGCCTTAATTTCTCTTAGCAGCAAGCCAATGGTGTTCTCACTCATTGGAAGAGGAAGGGGCGGGCTCCTTCTTGCAGGTCTCATGCTTGGCTTGATGTCGTTGGAGGTGATTAGAGCGGGTAAAGGCCTGGCCGCAGCCCTCACATTTGTAGGGCTTTTCCCCATTGTGCATCCGGATGTGCTGTGCCAACTCGGGTGCGATGCGAAAGGCCCTGCCGCACTCGGCACAGAGGAAGTCCTTGTCCCCGGAGTGGATCTGTTGGTGCCGCTTTAGGGTGGAGGAGCGGGCGAAGGTTTGACCGCACTCGGCGCAATGAAAAGGCCTCTCGCCGGTGTGGACGCGCTGGTGGCGCAGCAGGCGCGAGGGCTGCGCAAAGGCCACACCGCAATCGGCGCACTTGAAGGGCCTCTGGCCGGTGTGCAGCGTCTGGTGCTCCTGCAGGTTGGAGGATTTGGTGAAGCATTTGCCGCAGGTGGAGCAGGGGAAGGGCCGCTCGCCAGAGTGCACGCGCTGATGCTCCACCATGCGGCTGGCCACGGAGAACTCCCGGCCGCAGGAGGAGCAGCGGAAAGGCTTGGCGCCTAGGTGCTTGCGCTGGTGGCGCAGAAGTGACAGCGGCCTGTTGAAGGTCAGGCCACACTGGGCGCACGGGAAGGGCTTGTCGTTGCTGTGCATGTTGCGCTGGTGTTTGCGCAGATCGGAGGAGCGCACAAAGGCCCTCCCGCAGTCCGGGCACCCATAGGGTTTCTCGCCAGTGTGTGTGCGGATGTGCTTGCGGTGATCGGAGGACCAGGTATACGCCTTGTCGCAGAAGGGGCATCGGTACGGCCGCTCGCCTGTGTGCAGGCGCCGGTGCTGCTGGAGCGTGCTGCGGTGAGAGTAGGCCTTCCCGCAGAGCTGGCACACGTAGGGCTTGGCACCATGGTGTTCTTCAGGGGCCTGAAGTTTTCTGGACTTCTGGAGGGCCTGCCCGTCCTGCACACACCTGTCAGGACTCTCTTCCTGCCCTCTGCCTCCTGGGTCCACCTGGCCCTGTACTTTTCTACGGCCCTGCACTTTGCCCAACGCTGCTGCCGGGCTTGCACGAGTGACTGAAGTCTGAACTGGGGTGCTCTCGGACCTGGGAAGGTGCTCTAAAGAGTTCTTATCTGTGGGGGATGAATCTGCACTGTTCAGTGACCAAAAAGACCCCTCATTATCCAAGAAACTGGTGGGGACTCCCAAGGCAAGGTCCTTGTTTGCTTTCTTGTCTCCGTCATTGCCCACAGAGTCCCTATGAGGCTGTCTCCGTGAGAAGCCTCTGAAAGGGACACTGACAGCCTTCTCTAATTGAGGGGAGCCTTGAATCTGGGTGATCTTCAGTTCCTTTTCCTCCTGGTTGTTGGTCCTCCCAGGCATCTCCTCCAGTTTCTGCTCCACATAGCCTGTGCTGAAGGACCCAGACCACTTCCCTTCCTCTTCGCAGGACTGAGTGTCACACAGCAAGTTGCTGTTGCGCTGAGTGACTAGAGAGCCGCCTTCCCTACCATCACTCTCCAAGTTCATGCTCAACATCCGGGTCTCATGACTCATACTGCCAAGGGACACCTTGTTCCACCTATCCTGGGAGTCCATTTGTGCCATGGTGTGCCAGGCTCCTTAATTGTCTGCTCCTCCTAGAAAGAGTTTCTGCTTGGCACAGGGTTCCTGCAGAAGGGGCAGAGGGTGAGGAGACAACAATGAGTGAGTTTAATCTCCATAGCCAGAGGATGTGAGGGTTCCACCATGGCTCTTTTTCCTCCTGATGGCCATGCCAGGTATCTTGTTCAGCATCATAGGATGAAGGAGGCTATGGGTTCTGCTGAAGCTGCCGTAAAGCTGCCATCTTCCCTTTGAAAATCCTGCTTGCTAGAAGCCCAGAGACAGCTGGAGGAAGAGGGATTTGCTAGGTGCCCACACCTCAAATGCAAGGAAAGCAGATGCTCTCTGGGCTAGGGGAGCTAGATGAAACAGCAAGAAACAGACATGGAGACACCTCTCTCTTATGGTGCCCCCCCCCACAGTTGGAAGACCAGGTTAGCTCCTGTTGCCCCTGCCAGGAAGCCTAGTGTGTTATATCCTATAATGGGTATCTGGGGCTATTTCCCAGTCAATGGGATGTATAGGTCACCTCTTCTGAAAGCAAAGAATAATCTCCAGAAAAATGGAGGTGAGAATGTAAGACACCAGAAAGTTCACAAGCGGCCTGTCTGCTTATACAAGGTCTTTTCAATGGATGAAAAGGCCCTACTTGCCATGGAGTGTGAGCTGAGGTAGCCAGGAAGATAGGGATACCCACTTAGAATTTAAATGACTCCATTTAAAACCATGGGAATTTATATTTTATTTTCATTTTTAGTGACAATGGTTTTTGAGTTTTTTGTTTTTGTTTTTTTGAGACAGGGTTTCTCTGCATAACTGTCCTAACTGTCCTGTCACTTGCTCTCAAACCAGGCTGGCCTCGAACTCATAAAGATCCGCCTGCCTCTGCCTCCCAAGTGCTGAGATTAAAGGTGTGCGCCACCACCGCCTAGCTTAACTTCAATGTTTAATCTTCCCCTAAGTGTGCCATATGAACCCACATGGTGCCTCATGCCAAGCACACCCTATATATCCACAAGGGTACGTGTTCCCCAATCTGACAAGCATGGACTTAAGGTTTGGATAGCAAGGCATGAGATGTAGCAGCCATCTGAGTCTTGGTTTCAATTTCATTTTGCTTTAGCTTGAAGACACAGAGAAAGTCTGCTGAGGGCCGGTTAACAAGAATCGTATGTATGGGTGAGTGACTCCCGAAGGGGGAGCTCTTGGGGGCCTTGGAGTGACGTGGGAGCTGCCAGTGGGGCGAGCTTGCTTTAGTTTTGAGGGAACATCCTAAGAATGCCAGTCACAATGAACACTAACTTTCCCATTTGGAGGGGGGGTGGGGGCACTTACGCTACGTTGACTGCTTCCCAGACATGCTTTTACTTATTCCTCCCAGATAGAGACTGATAGAACCATGTCTTTCCTCCCATCTTATAGGCAGGACGTTGAGCCATAATGAGGTTTTCTGTCTGCCCAAAGCCGCACAGCTTACAGACACCAGTTCAGGGAGTTTCTCTCAAATTCCATGACTGTATGTTGAACCCAACTACTACTACCCCTTAGCTGAGGCCTCCAGAGCAAGGCCTGTTCTGGGGTCGGGCCATGCCAAGAGTAGCCACAGCATCCTGAGGGGAAGAGCTGCTACTCCCTGCAGCCATCAAAGCCCCTTGTGTTTGCTGGGCCAGGGAACCTTGACTGTGCTGGCTCAGCACTGGATTCCTCCCTGTGCTTGTTGACCCAGATTGCCCTCTGCAGAAGAAAGAGGCCAGGGCTGACTGAGTCAGGAAGCCTGCTGTGTAGACTTCTGCCAGGGAGTCAGGAATGTTAGTCACTGAATACTCCCTGTTACCAAACTCACTCACGGCTTATACTGCCTTCCACTCCCCCCCCTCAGCAGGGATGGCAGGAGCTGTTTTTGAACTTGGTGTGTCCTGTGCCTCTCTTATTAAACTGGACTCTCCACACTCCTACCTGCTGACAGCCCAGAGTGACTGTGTGTATGAAATGGGGAAAGGTGGTGGCGGCGGGGGGTGGTAGCCTCACTTTTGATTTTGCACACAAAAGCTGTGAATTAAAGGAAGACATATTGTAGACCTGCATGTGTCCAGCATTTCATGTCCTCTTGTCTCCTGATTGTCCTCTGGATGCACTGGCCCTGTAACATGCCAGAGTGTGGACTGGTGTTTGTTTTGACAAGAAACCAAGTCTGAAATGTTTTCAGCATTGGGGATCTTGGAGATCAACTGTATGCATGTGTACCTATGAAGAGAGACGCAGAGCTAGCAAACTCCAGGTGATTAGCATGCTGGGTCAGGTCTGGAGTCTCCCAGTTGGGGGATACAGGGATGCTGGGTTTATCTGTAACAGATACCTAGGCTCTCTTCTCTCTCTCTCTCTCTCTCTCTCTCTCTCTCTCTCTCTCTCTCTCTCTCTCTCTCTCTCCATGCTGTGCACATTTCCCTTGGTCTGTTCTGTGGTCCATTCTCCTTACACATTCATCACCCAAATGCACCCTGCTCTCCACAGCCTGTGTCTTGTTCCCTCCCTCTGGGCCACAGGTAAGCCTTCTCAGAGTGTCAGGCAGTCTTCTGCTAGCTTCCCCTTCCTCAGGAGCCGCAGGACAGATTGCTTTCTCTGGCAGAGAGCCCCTTTGCTGGTAAGCCACATCCACTGTGACTAACTAGAGTGGCCCTCCCTTCTTCCCTTCATAGCAACTGAAGATGTTTGCTCTTTCTCAAAGCGAAGACTAGGGAGAGATCAGGGGCTCGGGGTACGGTTGTGTGGCAAAATTTGCGCAAATATACCTGATCAGGAAAAGGAACACTGAGAAGGCCATGTGTCTGGGACTTCTGCTCTCCAGATGCACTGCTTCTGAGGCCATGAGAGTACAGACCTTTGCTGAACTTTGTCCACACCCATCAGCCAGCTGTGGATCTAGTGCAACCGACTCCATACACAGACACACTTCAGTAGCTTAGCCTGGGGTTTGCTCCCGCTCCTGCTTAAGTCCCTGCCCCTCTCCCTGAACTCCTTGCAGCTGGCATTAACTCCAGACACCTCCCACCTCCACTCCTTAGGCCCTCACTCCTTACTCCTGGCTTTCCCATCAACAGCTGCTTACCTGGAAAATGCAGACAGCGACATGGAGCACCCATACCAGGCTTCAGTCACATTTGGCCTCTCAGCTACTGAAACCAGTTTCCTGTTAGCCGCCATGATGTCTCTGGGTCTCACCCTTCTGTGTCCAATGCAGCAGCTTCAGGACAGGCTCAGGAAGTGGGACCCACATAAGACATTTAACCTTCCTGCCTGCATTCATGGAGCAGCCTGGGAAATACAGGGGGACGGTCCTCTCTCTGCCTGAACTGAACTGAACCTCTGGCTCTCTCAGTTCCCGCCTTCCCTTCCTGCCACAGCTGGCTCTCCTCCCTTCCACTCCCTCCTCAGAGGCCTTCCAGTTCTCCTGCAGGTGGCTCTAGACCTCCTGTTTGCTCTCACTCCTTCCTCTCACAGAGCAAGTCATTCTTCCTTTACTCCAGCCCTGCTGTGCTCACAAACCTTTAATTGCACGTCATTTTCTGGGAGAACATTCCAGGAAAAAGCCTGGTACATCCTTCTCTCATTCTAGTACCCATCTTCTCCCCTATTCTAATGCTCACCTTCTCCCGTATTCTAGTGCCCACCTTCTCCCCTATTCTAGTACCCACCTTCTTCCCTATTCTACTGCCCACCTATACGGAGATGTGGATTGAGCATGGATGGGGAGTAGTTCTTGAATTCATTTATTGATCCAATTTTTGGCTCAGAAATGTTCCTGGCAATTTAGCTGGTGCATGAAGCACAGTGAGATGGTTTATGGGTACAAAGTTCAAGTCTGCCCTGGATCATTCTCCGTCTCTGAGCACTGATTCCCATACCAGTCTATTGTGATGAGAACAGTTGCAAGGCTCAGTAGTTTTGAATTTATAGTCATTCAAATTAATATGATAGAAAAACACAAATAAACAAACAAACACACAAAATCCCACATTCTTAGTGTTCTTTCTTTGGAATGAATGCTTAGAACATTAAAATAGGAATTTTGAATATGTTACTCATGATGTTACTATGTGGCCAAAATGAATGCTGGTTGACAGAAAGGTTCTGGATTTCACCACTAGGTTGACTTTGGACAAGTTAGTTATTTAATATCTACATCCCTTAGCTCCTTATCTAAAAAGTGGGGATCAGGATAGCATCACCGTCGTGAAGGACTTGGAAGTAGTAAGGTGACAATACAAGGCAAGAGCCCAGCAAGGTGTCCAGAACGTAGTAAATAGACAGAAAAAATAGCTGGCAGATTATGTGTGGTGGAGTATAGTTGTTGTCCCAGTCCTCAGAGCGTGAGGCAAGGCCTCATGTGAATTTAACCTGCATTGCCCAGTGGGTTCTAGACCAGTGTTGGAGCAGAGAAGAAAGAAGAGTGGAGAGAGATGAAGGGAGAATGGCTAGCTGGTTTCATTACTATGTGGATGTTGCCGGTTTCCTGGATAATGCGGCTCTGTTTATGCCCCTGTGGCCCTTGTTAGGACTATAATTCTGATAGGAACATTGGCGCCCAACAACAATTCTCTGGGTGTGATTCAGAGAGTGGATTACTCTGCTCCTTGGTGTCTTGCAGACATGAATTCAGAGGTATGAGGCATGAAGTGTAGACGTCCTTGTACCCCCCCAAGTCCAAATAGGGTTCAAGAAGCCCATATCCCAACACTTGTTCATCATCCAAATCTCTCAAGTGACCGTATCCTTCAGGCTTTGGGATTAGATAGTTTATAGGAGTGAGTCCTTGGATGAATTGTGCAGAAGCCTATGGAGCTGGATGGTGGAGTTGGGTTGCGTGTGACAGATACGTCAAGCTCTAACTTGTTCTAACACTCCATTTATGCTAAGACAACACCCCAGCATCCCAGCTAATCCTCACCATATAGCACTGTGTGGTCACTGTTGACCTCACTAAAGTGTATGAGCACTGAGGCCCG